TTATTAGAACTGTCTATTATTATTATTTTTGCTGTGAGTAAAGTTTTTATTTTTAACCAATATAATTTTCTACAAATCATTTTGGATACACATGGACACATCTGGGTACCAAAATGGAATGCTTTAATATTCATTCCAGCTGCTACAGTTGCGATTTTTTGGCAGCTGGCCCAGACTGCTGTTTGAAACTGTCAATTAGGCTGTTAGTTTGCGATACTAACAAACCTAGGTTTTATTATAACATTTTATTTTTTTAGACCTTCTTACATGAATATAGATTGAATTCATAAAAACCTCATTTGATTCTGTAAAGGATATCCCACCAGGTCAGAGGTCATTTATGATACATGTTTAAGGAATATATGTGCTATAACCATTTGCTTTTCTGTTTGGACTGATCCCTTATACATCTACAATTTGGACTTTTATACATAGCGATTATCTAGCAATTTATTTTTCTGCATGCTCTTAGCATTCTAGATTGTATTAATACTATATGTGCTAATACTGTTATTTACATTTTCCACCAATATATCTTATATTTCATTAGATATATGTTATAAGCTCCTGGATATCTTTTACTCTTATATTTATGAATATGTATGGGATTTGATGAAGCCCTGTCTTTCCAGTTTCAGAGCTTTCTATTCTACTTTCTGTCTTATTCCCTCTTACATATTTTCTAATAGACATATTTTTTGACTATCAGGACTTATTTTTATTACGATTGAAAGTCATTTGTCAGTGTTTATAGATGTCACAAAACTAGGTACGATAAATGACTTCTCTGTAGCGCGATTTAGATAAATTGAGGGACTGGACAGAAAGTGGCAGATGAGATTCAATACAGATAAATGTAAAGTTATGCATTTTGGAATAAGGAACACACAAGCCAATTATACATTAAATGGGGTCGAGTTAGGGATAACATTAAAGGAAAGAGACTTGGGAAAAATTATAGATCATAAGCCAATCAACAGTATTCAATGTCGGTGTGCCATTGCAAGAGCAAGTAAGGGGCTTTCACAAATAAAAAGGGGGTTTAATTTATTTGAAGAAAATATAATTTTGCTTTTTTTGAGGTGAGGTAAGACCTCACCTTAAATATGTCAGATAATTCAGATAAACTTCAAAAAAGGCTTGGATGCTTTTTTGCACCAACACAGTAAATAAGGATACACTTAAATAAATATGTATCCGAACAGATTGTTAATCCAAGGAGAAATCTGATTGCCATTATGGAGTCAGGAAGATTTTTGTTTTTCTCCCTTCTAATTTAAAATGACTAAAACTGTTTTTTTCCCCCTAAATTTTGATAAACAGCATAAACAAATTGGTTTCAAGGTTGAATTTGATAAACTTTAGTCTTTTTAAAACTCTATATTGAAGCCCATATAGTTTAGAAAAACTTTAGAAAAACAGACTTTTCTAAAATTAGAATATGTGTAAAGGAGTCATTATCAGACTGGAGCAATTTAAATGGAGTCCAAGTGAAATGGGATTATTTAAAAGTTGCACTACTGAAGGCAACAGAAAATTGCATTAGGCTTGTCAGTAAAAGCAAAAAATTAAAGAAACCGCTGTGGTACTCCGCAGATGTGGCCAAAATAGTAAAAAACTAAAAGTTAGCATTTAGGAATTATAAAAAAACCCAGAGTGAGGAAGACAGAATGATCTATAAGATTAGGCAGAAAGAGGCTTAGCAAGTTATAAGAGCTTCCAAATCACACACAGAAGAGAAAATAGCACAGTCAGTAAAAAAGGGGGACAAAACTTTTTTTAGATACATAAATGAGAAAAGGAAAGTAAAACAAGGATTACTAAGATTTAAAACAAAAGAAGGAAGGTATGTAGAAGAGGATAAAGGTCTAACTGACTGCCTCAATGAATATTTTTGTTCGGTATTTAAAGATGAAAATGAAGGAAAGGGACCTCAGTTAAGAAAAAGGATAAATGAGTCATTTATTACACGTGTGTTTACAGAGGAAGAGGTTCTATTTCAACTGTCAAAAGTAAAGACAAATAAGTCAATGGGACCTGATGGAATACACCCAAAGCTATTAAAAGAGCTTAGTGGTGTACTAGCAAAACCATTAACAGATTTATTTAACCAATCATTGTTAACAGGAGTAGTCCCAGAAGATTGGAAGTTAGCGAATGTTGTGCCCATTTACAAGAAAGGTAATAGGGAGGAGTCGGGCAACTATAGGCCAGTAAGCCTTACTTCAGTAGTGGGGAAAGTGATGGAAACCATGTTAAAGGATAGGATTGATGAACATCTAAAAACACATGGATTTCAAGATCAGAGACAACATGGGTTTACTTCAGGGAGATCATGCCAAACTAATCTTATTGATTGTTTTGATTGGGTAACTAAAATTATAGATCAGGGTGGTGCAGTAGACATTGCTTACCTAGATTTCAGTAAGGCCTTTGACACTGTTGCACATAGAAGGCTTATCAATAAACTGCAATCTTTAAGTTAGGATTCCAGTATTGTTGAATGGGTAAGGCAGTGGCTGAGTGACAGGCAACATTGGGTTGTAGTTAATGGAGTATATTCAAAGCTTGGACTTGTCACCAGTGGGGTACCTCAGGGATCTGTACTTGGACCCATTCTCTTTAATATTTTTATTAGTGATATTGCAGAAGGTATTGATGGTAAGGTATGTCTTTTTGCTGATGATACTAAGATATGTAACAGGGTTGATGTTCCAGGAGGGATAAGCCAAGTGGCAAATGATTTAGGTAAACTAGAAAAATGGTCAGAGTTGTGGCAATTGACATTTAATGTGGATAAATGCAAGATAATGCATCTTGGACGTAAAAACCCAAGGGCAGAGTGCAGAATATTTGATAGAGTCCTAACCTCAACATCTGAGGGAAGGGATTCAGGGGTGATTATTTCTGATGACTCAAACGTAGGCAGACAATGTAATAGAGCAGCAGGAAATGCTAGCAGAATGCTTGGTTGTATAGGGAGAGGTATTAGCAGTAGAAAGAGGGAAGTGCTCATGCCATTGTACAGAACACTGGTGAGACCTCACTTGGAGTATTGTACACAGTACTGGAGACCGTATCTTCAGAAGGATATTGATACCTTAGAGAGGGTTCAGAGAAGGGCTACTAAACTGGTTCATTGATTGCGGGATAAAACTTACCAGGAAAGGTTAAAGGATCTTAACATGTATAGCTTGGAGGAAAGACGAGACAGGGGGGATATGATAGAAACATTTAAATATATAAAGGGAATCAACACAGTAAATGAGGAGACTATATTTAAAAGAAGAAAAACTATCACAACAAGAGGACATAGTCTTAAATTAGAGGGACAAAGGTTTAAAATAATATCAGGAAGTACTTTACTGAGAGGGTAGTGGATGCATGGAATAGCCTTCAAGCTGAAGTGGTAGAGGTTAACACAGTGAAAGAGTTTAAGCATGCGTGGGATAGGCATAAGGCTATCCTAACTATAAGATAAGGCCAGGGACTAATGAAAGTATTTAGAAAATTGGGCAGACTAGATGGGCCGAATGGTTCTTATCTGACGTCACATTCTATGTTTCTATATTTCTATGGTTTTGGAGAATTATATATAAGTTATAGTCAGCTACCCATATACTTTTGGATAAATATTGTATATTGCAATAATATTAAATAGTATAAAGTTACTCACATTTCTCCAGTTCTTTCTGAAGATCAATGCTGGCCTGTCTCTCCTCGATCTGCTCCAGTACGTGAATGATAATTTCCGGGGCATAATTTGAAGTGTAATATTTGATAATGCAATCAGACACTTCTTCGTGGTTCAAGTTCTCCAGCTCACTCCAAGGGATATTACGGTGTCTTGGCAGCAACGCACAAGATTTGAGTTTATTTTTAAATCTTTTAAAGCTGCGGAGTTCGAGGTTTTTCAGTGTATACTCTAAAAGATCTGTTATATGCATGGACATTGTGACCCACTGACAAAAAGTCAATATTTAACCTGTGTGAGGAATGACAGGAAACCCAGTTATAGCAATTCATACAATTCCATTTTATTGACATCCTCTAACATACATACCGTATATACTCGAGTGCTGAAAAACCCCCAGCTCGACTTATACTCGAGTCAGTGTCTGTATTATGGCAACTTACTGTGACGGTAGTCACCATCACTGGAGATAGAAGACAGACACTATGGGTGGGCTCCCAAATTCCTTTTGTGTTTTGTCACATTGTGCCTATTATTTGTGCAGGGTATGTTGAATGTATTGCTGGTCTGTGCATCTCCACCTCCCCCCTTCTTCCTGTGCTATTGTTTCCCCAACAGGGTGTTGTCCCAGGGACACTGCCAGACCAGTTTAAACTGGCTGCTCTGCCCCAGTGACATTCGTTCTGTTGAGAGCGGTGTGCACTGTTTGGTCTGCTCGGGGATCTCAGTAACAGAGTTGTTGGATACTGTTGGCTGGATGCACTGGTCTCTGATTTCTGCAACAAGTTAAGAAAGAGCTAGGTCTGAGTACCACAGGTGCCTTTGTAAAGGCAGTGGTTGGAGACAGTGCAGGCAGAGATGTTCATACTTGTCTGGGAAAGGAACAGAAAGGGCAAAGGCAGAGGTGACAATACCTGATGGAAGATGTCCTACGAGACCCTAGACAAGCTTCGGCGACTGTGACTGAAGCACTCCAGAGTCTCTGGTAGCAGAAAGGAAGCTGACCTGGCAGAGGTACTCAGTCGGAGAATGGGAGTTCTGTCACAATCTCCATTAAAGAATTAAAAAAAATCACAACAAATCAGAGTTTTTAAAATCCATCCTACATTCCCATTGGTCCAAATTATTTAGTATTTATCTCAAATTTAGAGGAACTCTTTAAAATATTAATGTGTAAACATGTACCGAAACAAAGTGATATTATAATTGTAATTAATCTATACTTAAATTTGTATGATTGTGTTTGTTGTTGTGTTTTTCTGTCCAGAGACAGAAAAAGGAATAATAGCACAAAATAAAGTATACAGCAATGGCTGTCTCTTCAACAAGTACAATATAACATGGAAAGAGACTGATAGGGATTCACTGTCAACATTTTCAGAGCATTAGAATTCAATTCTGGATATACTTGCCTCCAAGCCAGTAGAGAGCGTCACTTTTTGTCTTTTCCTGAATTGCAGGAGACCGGGTGTCGACTAGTTATGTTGGCTTCCTGGGGCAATGTAGGGGCCCGGTGACTGGGCACCCTGAGGCCCATTACCCTGCAGGCAGGTAGAGCTCACAATATCTTTTTAAAGGAACAATACTTAGTTTTGGTCTTCAGACCAGGCCACAATTACCATTTTTGAAGAATGTTAATCTAACTTTCTATCAGGTTTAACTTTTTAGAAGAGTTTGTATTTATCCTGATATAGTTTTTCTCCATAGATAATTGCAAAATAAGCTAATTTTTAACATGTGTCCAAGTAGGGGCTGCTGTTCTCTATTGCTATCTCCATGATTTGAAGAAGAGAGTCAAGAAGTTCATCGCCCTGAATAGTCACCCGTAAGCATCTCCCTACCCTACAGTAAATGCAACTCTTACCATTGGTAATCTTATTCCTTCACAATCTGATTACCTTTCTGTGGGGAATTCATCATAAAAAAGGATTGTGTCTTTAAAATAAATGTAAAGCTGTTTATCATTTTATTTCCCCCCTGTAGATCATCCTCCACCTCAGAAACAGAAACATAATACCTTTAATAAAGCTTCACACGTTCTTCGAATCCCCTGGGTTTAATTCCTTTTTTCTTTCTTCTTGTCCTTTCATGAGATACACTTCATACTTTCAATTTCACTGTTTGTTAAGTTGTTACAACAAAAAAATAACTCTCCGCCTGCTAACTGGCCTGGCAGTGTGATCATGTTTCATTCTGTTTGATGTCTCTTCTTAACCCTGACTGTCACTCTAACCCCAACATAAGACGGGGCAACAGCTAGTGTTTAGAAGGAACGGCAATGTTTTCACTACAGTGACCTTAATATGCTTTATAAGTGAGCTAGCCTCCCAATGCTTCCCTGTGGGGAGGAACTGGATTGGCTGAGCTCATCAGCCTTGATGATCTCGACCCAGAAGATGCAGCAGCAGCAGCAGGGGGATAAAAGTAGGTTAAACTTGAAAGGAAGGGGAGTGGACACCCACATAGGTGGGGAAACACTATAGCGTTAGGAATATGCTTGTATTTCAAACACTACACTAATCAGCCACAACATTAAATAAAATTGCTGACAGGTGAAGTGAATAACGTTGATTATATCTTTACTATGGCACCTGTCAAGGGTTGGGATATATTAGGCAGCAAGTGCACAGTCCGCTCTTGAATTTCATGTGTTGGAAGCAGGAATATGGGAAAATCAAACGATCTGAGTGACATTGACAAGAGTGAAATAGTGACGGATAGGTGACTGGATCTGAACATCTCCAAAACAGCAAGTCTTGTGGGGTATTAAGGTCTTGTGGGGTGTTAGTACTTACCAAAAGTAGTGTGTCAGCGTTGCCTAGAGGATCCTCAGTAAGGTGAGAGGCACCATCCTATCAAAGGCAAAGATGGAAGGATAGAAGCGGCGTATTACCGGACCTTAGAGTGGCCAGGCTTTCCTTAAAGTAGGAACAAGAAATAGCAGGACTAAATTAGACAAATATTTCAGGCCAAATTGGAATGCAGAAAAAAAAAATAGTGAAAACTGTGTATTGGACAAAATACAGGCTGGTATAGGAACAAACGTAGTTAAACAGGATTACAGATTAGAACAAATCGATGAACAATCAGAGTCTGGCATACAAACAGGGTAGTCATGCAATCCAGGTCTGATGCAAAATACAGGAGATCAAGAATTTTAAAAGGATAAGCTGGGTCAAAAACAATGAAACAAGATCAGGACAAAAATATCACTAGAATTCTGGAACCATGAAAGGGCCCAGAGTAGCCAAAAAGCTCTCCTAAAATAGGGAGGCCCTGTACCTGATTGGCTATTGCTTGCTGGCAGCAATCAAGTAAGAAAGGTTACACCTGTAATATCAACAGGTGTACCAAAAAAACAAACGATCAGAAAACCAATGGTTAACGAATAAAACAGAAAACCGTTGTGAAGATATCATGTTCTACAGTGGTATAGCAAGTTGTGCGCAGCAGTATCAACCAGGGGTTTGAATCCCACCAGAGGTACGTTACCGGACATGGTGCAAGGAAGGACAACCAGTATCAGGGTCAAAGGCTCACAAGGTACATTGATAGTACATGTTAGAAAAGTGTCAGAACACACAGTGCATCACAGTTTGCTATGTATGGGGCTGAATAGATAAAGACTGGCCAGAGTGCCCATGATGACACTTATCCGCCACCAAAAACATTGTTTACCTGGGGAAGAGATGGCAGCAGGATGCATTATGAGAATAAGGCAGAACAGTGGAGGCAGTGTCGTGCTCTGGCATTCATGTGGATGTTACTTTGATTGTTACAGACCCTTAATGGTGCTCTCTGATGGCAGTGGCCTTTTTCAACAGGATAATGCACCCTACCACACTGCAAAATCTGTTCAGGTATGGTTTGAGGAACATGACAAAGATGCTGTCTTTGCCCCAAAATTCCCCACATCTCAATCTGTTCCCCACATCTCAACAACACATGGAGGCACCACCTCACAACTTGCATTAAAGGATCTGCTGCTTATGTCTTGGTGTCAGATACCACAGGACACGTTCAGAGGTCTTGTTGAGTTAATGTCACAGGGCTGTTTTCGCAGCACCAGAGGGACCTACATGATATTAGGCAGGTGGTATTAATATTCTGGCTGTTCAGTCTATACTGTTCCCTTAATTATAGGGATATCACTCAGCACTGCCACTACAACTAGCATTGTCAAGTCATTGTCATATTCATAACTTCTCATTCTGCATTGTTCTCCTGTCTTGGTGTCCAGCTCTGTCAGGACACCAGTTATCCACTGCTGGGGGATATTAGAGGTGTAGCGGAGAGGCAGTATAATCCACGATATCTCCGCTGGGTAACAGGAACAACAAAGGATAATCCAGGAAATCAGCATAGAATAATCCAAACAGCACTGCAGTAACCCTTCCTTCCCAAGAACTAGACGGCACATAGGCTGGGAGTCAACTGACAACCGTTTAATCAGCAGGACAATTTATACAAGTCCCCATGCAAGGGGTTTCCTGAGTCCCTCCCCAGGGGCACTCCCAGAGGGGACTACATGGGGGACTTACATTACAGCATATTTCTCCCATCAGGCACCGCTGCACGAGAGGGATCATCTTCCCAGAATGCACCGTTAAGTGGATTATCCCCTCGTGCAGCAGAACCGACAATTCACACAAAAATCCATAACTTGGTGAATATACAGTGGATTTACACGAATGGACGTTCGGTAGATAGCTGGGGTCTGAGCGCATCATTCGTGAGATTACCGCTCAGATCCCAGCTAAAATAACCGAACGCCGCACGAAAAACACAATTCGTATAAAACATATGAAAAGAACCGATTGCTTGAAGGGAACAAAATACCGAATGTCCCGAAACTCCCGAACGCCCTGGAGGCTCAGCGGGGCTCGTGCCGTCGAGTAGCCGTTTTTAGTACCAGGCGCTCGACGGCATAACCCCGCTGAGGGAACAAAGGATCCAAGATGGCCGACCGCCGCATGGTCGGTAGTCGAACGACAGCCACCCAGGAGAGCCTCAAATAACCGATTGCAACAATGTTGCAATCGGTTAATTAGCGCCACACGCCTCTAAGTGTGTGGGCTATTAGGGGGCATCGCGTTCGGTTCACGAACGGCCCTCCAAAGTGTCGTTCGTGAAACGAAAGGGAATCCCCATTCAAACCGCCATTTGCATTCGGCGGAACAGACAATTACAGGTAATGCAGGGAATACATGAAGCAGACACATACAGGTTAAACGCATATCTCTCCAGACCTATCGGCAACCCTTAAAGGCATAGTGTCCAGTTATAGTCCGAGTGGCTAGGTTTGCCACAAGAGGCATCTCCATCAAGAAGCTTTACGAAGAGATCAGCAGGTTCTCCTGGAAGATTTCAGATATATTGTTTTTCACATTCTTGAATTTCTTTTGCTCTGAAAATCGAGAATTTAGCTTCCTAAAACTGCCTCATCACACGGAGAAAAGTCCTGACAATTCATAGCTTAGTGCATACCCCTCTGCCAGGCTGAAGCAATTTTGTAATTTTTTATGTGTGACTTTAGAAATATTGACAATAAAATGCAAAATGTGTTTTTGCTACATTTGCTAAATAAATTACTTTGTTTTATCACATGACACATGACACAGAGTCCAGTCCAGTAGAATCTATGGCATGTTAAGGATTAACTATAAGTGTTTGAAAAGATATATTGGATCTTTCATGATTAATATTGTGGTGTCTTCCCTTCCTTTACTGACAACTGGAGGTGAAGATGTGAACATGAGCAAACATGGCCCATTTCATGGATATGAACCCTCAGACATGCTCGGTCAGCTCTAACAAGACTTATTGTATTGGACCATCACACTCCTTTATTGCCCGTGATACTAGTTGTGTTATTTGTCAGCCCAAATGCCAATTCTGCTCCCACCATGAGTATTGGAATTTGTACTACTGGCATTTCCCCTCATGTGATTAATGAGCCTCCCCAAGTGATGCTCATGGGTGGGGAGTTGGGAAGTATAGTGGCATGTCCTCCTGCATGTATATATCAGCCCCCAACTGCTGCCCATGGGTGGAGGGGGACAATGTCATGTTCTTCCCTTGTATGTATTTAGCAGCCTCCACTCATTGCTCACATGGCATACCCCCCTCCTGTATATAATTATTTGCCCTGTATGTATTTAGCAGGATCTGTCTGAATTGTAGGTCTTTTGAGCCATTGCACAGGTCAGTAGGATGATGTAACTGGAAACAAGAGATACTGTTATAAAGCTACTGAGAATGCAGTTGTAGTTAAGGAGTAGAGCTGATTACTGCATTTGGCTGATCTGTGGCTTCCTGACACCTTCACACACTGACAAACTAAAAGTCACTCTTAGCTTCCTGCAAATCTCATGCACACACACCACCAGAGTCACAGGAGTGAGATCGGAACTATTGCAGCTCCCACCGGTGAGTAACAAAACACTTACACAGGAGGACAAGGGGTACTAGGTACTGGCAAAGCACCCCAATAATGCCAGGCCTTCCTAGAGAGGTACTGGCAATGCACCCCAATAGTACCATGCCTTCCTAGAGAGGTACTGGCAATGCACCCCAATAGTACCATGCCTTCCTAGAGAGGTACTGGCAATGCACCCCAATAGTACCTCACCTT